CTTTAGTTTTGATGCAAAAACGCATGATCGCACTGGCTCGCCTGGTGCGTTCCAGCCTTTGTTTTATCGTCTTGTGTTGCAGTAGCTGCACAAAATGCATATTGTATGGTTTTTGAAATGTTTTTTGTAACGTTTCTTTAAAACCATGCGATGGTACATATATATATATATATATATATATATATATATATATATATACACATATGTATATATATGTGTATACATATATCAAAAAAAAAAAACCGCTCAAGCTATCAGCTTGGGCAAAGCTCCGATTGGCCGCTGATTGTCAAAGGGTCTACTACAAAAGCAGTTTGTCTGAAAAGTTTTATTAACTAATTTAGTTTATTTCGTCACGCAGTAACTTCTTATAAAAATCCTAGGTCAAGATCTTCATGCACATTTTTAGCTAATCAATTGAAAATGAAGACTGAAACAACCGTAGGCGATATTTCAGGAGTGCATAATCCATCACCTTATCTTCGACGATACCGCTTACCAACCATTAATTCCAGTGCAACGGTCGCTGCTTATGAAGAACTGCTAAGTCCTGTCGAGAACTGCGCCAAATTTGCACTCATTTCTTCAATTAACTTTCAGAATAAGGTACTGGATTTCGAACAAGAACTACAGCAATTCAGTTTTTAAGCGAAAAAACCGATAGCAGGAAAAAATGTGCCTTGAATCGTTTCAAAGCGAAATTTTCAGAAATTACATGGTTACTAACATAGTTTTCTTCCACACTCTCCTTCATCCACCCGGCTATTCTTCTAACAACCCTCCCTCCCAGTATTTGCGACATACGCAAAATAACCTCGCACGAAAATAAAGAATTTAACTAAACTAAAAGAAATTGTGATTTTTGTTCAAACGTGAATATTTGTTCTCGGAGTTAATGGACGGTAAGAGGCAAATGCCAAAAATCATCGCCAGTTGAGCTGCTGATGTGGAGGATATTCTGAAAAAATCGGAAAAATTGGAAATGTGGATCGTGATGGATGACTTGATCATATCGCTTATCACTGAACTTTACTAGTGCCTTTTTGTCAGAGGAATGAAGCACAAATCTCAGAGCCTTGTTGTATTTTGTTTGGTCTAAGGTTGTATCGTTACGGTACAGTGGAATATGTAAGTACTTCAACAATAATCGGTTGTTTATCATGAGGTTGAAAAAAACATGAATTGGCACCATCAGCGAGAAATTGATAAAGCGAAGTTTTTTTTCCGTTTTTTTTCAAAGCATTGGTTTCTGGCACGTTTTAGTGTCTAATGTCAATTTTTTCTCCACTAATTCCATATTTATGTAAATGCAAAAACGCATATTGTCAAGCCGTTATCGATATGTACACATTTTCGACAAAAGAATCTCGAAATGACAGAAGTTAGAGAGCTTAAAGCTCGGAAGCAGTACTGTGTATCATATGCTCTAATCAGATTCGCAGATTTCTTTAAGTGTACACGTTTAATCTTGCTATCACTTCTAGATTGTTATCATCAAAGTAAAAAGGAAAGCACATACGATTATACAATTTTTGCTTACTTTTATCAGAAATCAGATTTTCTCTTTGTATTTTGACCTTTAATGTGTGACTTAAATTAGGCGTGCTGCTTTAATTGCTATACACTAAAAGCTGCAAAAACGTCATTTCCGACAATAGCGTGTTGTTTTTACCAAGTAAACTTAAAAATTTCCTTTTTTGACTTATAAATTGCAACACGGAATCAGTTTAACGCTGTGAGAATGAGGAGAAAATATCACTAACTCTATATTTCTGTTTTATAAACCTAGATGGGCAAAAATAGTAATGATTGCGCAAGATCACCTTTTACTTGCACACATCCACTAACAATACACTGAAACTATTTTGTAGAAGCGTTTCTGGTGCGAAACGCAACTAAATGTTCCATCCAGGTAGGTCTGGCAGCAGCGTATGATAGGTGGGCGCATATACGTCGAATGGGGCGATAGGTGCTAAACGGAGGTATATAGCCCAGAATCGAAGCTGCTAGCTGCACTCGGCGTGTGGAAGCGCATTTCAGTGAGATCGTTAGAAGGGGAACCGCACATTGTTAGCTCGAGCGGTCTTAGTATATGACAGAAACAACTTTCAAAAAAAAAAAAATTGCCGGTGTTATAAGTTGAACATGTTTTTGCCGCTCACTTTTTACCACTCTACCACACTTTTTCCAACCTTACCATCAAAAAAAAATGACTAAGTGCTTTTCACAAACACGAAATCTACAATTTTATCAATTTTCAGCACTTTTCGGAACCAGCGAATTTGCAAAACAATTCATTATCGATAGAAAACAATGTGGAGCAGCCAGATGACAATTCAAATTCGAACAGAACAGTAGCCTCCGCTCATTCGGTGTTCGTTTTTTGCAACCTTTTTATCTATGAACAAAAATGTCACTACCATTATTAAAAACACTCTCCAAGAATTTTCATAGCGCGCACTGGAGAAACCAAAAGTAAAAGTGAAATTGGTAGCACATTTTGAATTCGCAAGTGACTGCACAAACTGCAGTGCAAAAAAGCTGCTTAGTGAATGTTTAAGACAAAAGCCGCAAAGACAACAATATAGGTTCCTATAAAACCTTCTGCACTGGTCCTTCAAGCCTATTCGGTCCGTTACCCAATCACTGTCTTCGTTTATAGGCGCTACTGTAATGAATTGGTACATCTTTTCTCTCTCTTGAACTTTCTAAGCCTGCTTCTTCCATTGCTACATTTTTTCGACGACAGCAGTTCTCGAGTTTCTCCTGCACTATCTAGTCAAATTTTTATTATTCTCGTCTCTTCAATATAAAAATAATTGGCCAGTGCATGGGCTGGCCGTGCGAAGATGCGTTTTTTGCATAGCTCCCCGCAGATTTTTGTCGCTAATGGCACTGGTTTTTCT